TCAAATACCCACCTGTCTAACATCATCAGACATGGGCCTGGTGATCTCGATCACTGCTGGGGTGACCCTGGTGGTCTTCAGCACTACGGGGACTCAGTAGTATCATATCACCAGACCAAGCATTGAACTATCGGGCCCTGTTGGCTGAGCACTGCTTAGGAACCCTGAGTAGCACTTAAAGGCTGCCACCTGCTATATGCTAACATAAATTCTCATTTTCAAAGGTTACATATAAAAGACAAAAAAATCGATAGACTATCCCCTGGTGATGCTGGCTCCTATTAGGAATGTTTTGGTTTTGTTTCATTTTTATTTTTTTATTTTTTAAAAATTTTTATTAGTGACTGACTATCTGAGAAGATGGTCCTACTGTAAATTACTCAGCTGAGCTCTGGATGGAGTGCAGTCCTCATGGTCCAACCAAGAGGATATGCTAGGCTTATTATTCTACTTACAGGTAGACGAGAACATTCCTAAATGGTTACTAATTTTGAGGACAAAGATCCAATGAGCCAAGACAACTGAACTGAAAGCAACAATGCCCTCATGGTGTAATGAGAGGGAAGAGAGACAACAGATCAGGGCAGAAGGAAGCGTGAAGCCTCCACATAAAACTGTTTATATGACGAAGACAGTGTTGAGACTGAGTGGGTAATGCTGGTTAATGTGACCTGTGAGTGTCTCCCTTGTAAGAAGTGTGGGAAAGAATTCCATCACAGTCCTATTCCACTTTCTACTCGGCAACATGAGCAGTTTCCCCACATAGAAAATAAGGATGACACTGAACTAACAGCCTGGACTGCATGAAAAACAAAAGGACTCACTGTACAAAGTGACTGATCAAATGCCATGCAACAACTGTCGGCCTTCCACTTCCAGAACCTTTCCTCCTCAGACTCGCTGAAACCAACATCGGTTCTTTCCTCTGTCTGGCCAAAATGAGAAAACTTGACCTTGATATATCTGACTCCACTGACCGGCACAGAACCACCCACACAAGTTCTCATGCTTACAGACCCAGAGGCTGAGTCAGCCACTGAGCGTTTGCCCTTCTCATCCAAAGGACAAGTTTTCTCTGGGGATTGTTCAACTTTGATGGAAAAAAAGTCACAGGAACACGCAATACAGAGAGAACATTTCACATGCTGTCTCAGTCATTAGAAAGTCGCTGTATCGTAGCCTTCAACATCACAGGGAAAGCTGCAGCGAAGTCACAGAGCCTTTTGAGCCAAATGTGGGTTCTCATTAAAACTCCATTGGAGGGGGCTGTACTACAGTGCGCAGGGCAGTTGCCTTGCACACAGGTGATTCAGGTTCAATCCCTGGTACCCCGTATGGTCCCGAGCCCCACCAGGACTGAGCACAGGGCCAGGGGTGAGGCCTGAGCACCACTGGGTATGGCCCTCAAATGAAAACAAAACAAACAGTAAGAAAAACTCCTCTGGACATGAACCGTTCTCTAATAACACGCTTCCTTCTGCCCTGATCTGTTGTCTCTCTTCCCTCTCATTACACCATGAGGGCATTGTTGCTTTCAGTTCGGTTGTCTTGGCTCATTGGATCTTTGTCCTCAAAATTAGTAACCATTTAGGAATGTTCTCGTCTACCTGTAAGTAGAATAATAAGCCTAGCATATCCTCTTGGTTGGACCATGAGGACTGCACTCCATCCAGAGCTCAGCTGAGTAATTTACAGTAGGACCATCTTCTCACCACATAACAGGACACTAGAATCCATGAGGAAAAGGGGAGTTGGAGGAGAGACGCACTGGACATCTGAGAAGCCGAGAGGGGTTAGAGGGGAGAAGGAAGAGCTACTGAATCGGGGAAAGTAGACAGAGATCAACAAAAACGTCTCTCCCTTCCTTTCTACTTCAAGGAGGTATTTTTTGTTCTGTTGTGGGTTTGGGGCCACATCACAGGCTAATGAGCTCAGTGCTCAGGTCACTCTGTGAGGTCCATGTGGTGCTGGGGATCAAACCCAGGCTTCCCATATCTCTCTGCCTCTCAATAAACTTTATTCAGCTCTGTGTAATAACTCTTAAAGAATATAATACAGGTTTATCTTTCCCCTTCCTTGTTGAGATGAAAACACTAGGTAGAAGATAATGGGAATGGGATAAAAACAGCATTTTTTAAAAAATTAAGGGGCTACTACCAAGTGGCACTCTATGAAGTGGTACAGGCCTGAAGGTTTAGTACTAAGATCCAGCAGTACTTGGGGTCCTAGTGGTGTGGAGGAGGAGGGCAATGATTCTTGGGCCACGTGAATGCCAAGAGTGGGCTCTGCCCCTGTAGGTCAGATATTCCCCAGCTGCCAAAATGAGTTTTTGAAAGTAATTTTTTAAATTGGTAGCCTCCACACTTGATCTCTCCCCGACCTCCTGAACCTCTGCTTGTTCCACCACCCTTCCAAGTGAGATTAATCTCCCAGCTAACATCTCTGGGGCCTTTTTTTTCTTTTTTTTTTCTTTTTTTTTTTTTTTTTTTTGCTTTTTGGATCATGCCTGGTGATACACAGGGGTTACTTCTGGCTCATGCACTCGGGAATTACTCCTGGCGGTGCTCAGGGGACCATTTGGGATGCTGGGAATTGAACCCGGGTCGGCCGCTTGCAAGGCAAATGCCCTCCCCGCTGTGCTGGGCCTTTTTGGAAGTGAGAAGGATTACCCTGCCCTTTGGCTAGGTCCTGGCAGCCTCCATTCCATACCTCTGACACATCAACAGGACCAGCTCTATATCTCCTTAGTCATGTGATCACACAACAAAACTACTTACCAAAACTCACACTGCTCACAGGTACACTTTCTGCCACGGGGCAGGGAAGAAAAAGCAACCCCCCTTCTAATCCCTCCGAGATTCCCACAGGAGCTAACTACAAAGATTCACCCTCAGCATAGCAAGCCCAGTGAGAAGGATGCATACAAGTTCACCTTTTCAGTGAGTTTGAAAATAGTAACACAGAAGGCTCAGACAACACAAATTAGTTCTGTAAGCTCTCGGAGAATGATTTTAGAGACAGCCTGTTGAGGATGTTTAATGAGCTCAAAGAAACAATGGCACAGGGAGTCAGCAAGGCGTAAGAAAGCATAAAAGCTGAAATGAAAGAATTACAATGAAGAAATGAAGAGTATGGCAGGTGATAGAAAAAAAAAACACTAGGTCTAGACCAGCAGAACAACAGAAATTGAGGAAAAGATGAAGAAGCCCAAAAATTAGATGCAGGAAACCTCTGGAAAATAACAGTAGATAGAAAAAGTCTGAAAACAAACTTGGATTCTTGCACATGTAGAACATGTGTCCCTGACTCGTTATCTCCCAGTTCCTCCAATCAATTCCTTAAGAAAGTAAGTGTGTACCATCTTGTGTATTTATTGCATTTCAATATTACTTTCTGATAAATTGCTTTTATAATCTTAAAAAAGAATACTAATGGGGGAAGGTGTCATGCCACTTCCAGCAGTGCTCAGGGAATACTGCTTGTTTTGTTTTATTTATTTGTGTATTTATTTATTTATTTGGGGAGGGGAATGAATGGTGTCATACCTGGCTATGCTCTGGGCTTATTCCTGGATCCTCACTCAGCGATCACTCCTGGTGGTGCTTAGGGAACCATATAGGGTGGTAGAGGTCAAACCAAGGTTGGATGCATTGAAGGCAAATGCCCCACCTGGTAGACTATTGCTCTGGCCCCTGGACTACTCCAGCTCAGTGCTTAGCAATCATTCTGGAAGTGCTCACAAGACCATATGCAGAACAGGGAAACAAACCAGGGTCAGTCATGTACAAGGCTGACCCCACATAACTATGGCTCCAGTTCTAAAATATATTTTTAAAGTATTAAACTTGGGGGTTGGATCTCAAAATTAAAAACAACTGCCTTGTCTGTGTGAGGTGCTGGGTTTGATTCCTGGCATACCCACCCCACCAAAAAAGTATCACAATTTTTTCCACTTTATTTATATTGAGCTGGAGAGATATACAGTGGGTAGAATGCCTGTCCTGAATGCAGCTGATCCGGGTTCAATCCCTGGCAACCCATATGGTCTTTGAGTCTACCAAGAGTGATCCCTTAGCACAGAGCCCTGAGCACAGGTGGGTGTGGCCCCAAACCCAAAAACAACAACGAAAATACCCCCCAACTTTTATTAATGTTTCCAGGCAATTGTCAAAAATAAAATGATCTGAGTACTTCACATTTTCTTTTTTTTTTCTTTTTGGGTCACACCCAGCGATGCACAGGGGTTACTCCTGGCTCTGCACTCAGGAATTACTCCTGGAAGTGCTCAGGGGACCATATGGGATGCTGGGAATCGAACCCGGGTCAGCTGCATGCAAGAAAAAATGCCCTGCCCACTGTCCTATGGCTCCTGCCCCCGTACTTCACCTTTTCAATAGCGCATTTAAAAAAACTGGGAGATCAGGGGACGTGTCGTACTTGGCAGTCTCAGCAGACATTCCTCATTCTGTGCTCTGGAGGACTCACAGGTGCATATGTACTAGTAGGACCTCGAACAAGGGTAAACCGCATATGTGCAAGGCCATGTGACTTGCCTTTATTTAAAAATATTTAAAATACGCTTTGTGGTATTCAAAGCAGTACCTCATATGCTATTTATTAGATTCCAAGATGAGACGAGTATTATTAAACTTATTTTTTTTTCAAATGAGTTCATTCACGTTAAGGGAATTAAGGAATTTTTCCCCCTAGGTCTTACTGCTAGTAAGAAAGAAATTGGCCTCAAAGCTAGGTCTCATGACGTCCGACTGCCTCTTGTTAATTACCCTAGTAGGATAACAATTTTTTTATGAAGCAAGATAGTTTTCATTCGATAGAACTTGCTTAGGAAGATGCGAGAGGAAAGAGAGGCAACGCATGTTCATGAGAGAATACTTCTCCAGAGTGAAAAACGCAGGCAAAGGGACATAGACAAGCGAGTGAGATACATACTCAAGAGCGAACAACAACTTGAAAAGCAAGCCCAGAATAGCAATTCTTACCTTCCAACTCTTCTTTCTCATAGTGAATATTGAGAATCGTACTGGTCCCACCCTGATCCACCACAGCTTCTTCATCTGGTCTCTATTGAAACATAAAACAATCATAGAAGTATGTAGACAATCACTAAATAATCCATTTTAAGTACCTGGTATATATCACACTGATATACCACACAGGAGAGAAAATACAGTGGTTTGCTTGATTATCAACTTGAATTTTTGAATCTCACAATAGCTCTGAGACCCAAAGGTAGCAACCTTTCTTTCTTGTTTTATAAGTGAGCAGTCTAGAAAAGTCAAGCCTTCTCAGAGGCTGGATAGGAAACCTCTCCACATCTTCCAGGGCTTTCGGAAAGTCCAGCAGTCACACCCATGTCCCACCCCCACAGACCACTATGGAAGCGCAATTACCAGCCTTGTTCCAGAGGCTCAAAGTAAATCCTGAAAGAGATCAACTAGCCACAAAAATTCCCCAGATACCTATCCCCAGCTGAGAGCTATGGGGCTATCTTGGAGGGGTGTGGGCCAGTTCCTGCCCCCACCAAAGCCCCTGCAGCCACTCATGCGCCCCCAAAAGCGCCCCCCATGCCTTTACCCGGACTGCCCAATTAAATACTTGGGATTTTCTGGAGCATACAGTCCTGCAACCTCTCCGAACTCTGCAACACTGACAATCCAGTAGGAGCAAACCAGATTGGATGGGATGTAATGTAGAAACCGAACTCATCTCGATTAACAAAAACATTAATGCGGAAGGCTTAACTTACAACAACAGTTTAGTAATCCCTCAGACAAGGACTTAATGTCCCCTCGATGAGATATGAAAATTTTCACAATTTTTATCATTCTGTTAGGCATTTAGTTAGCCACAAATCACGATCACGATCATCCTGATGTTCGTCAATTGCCTCGAGCAGGCACCAGTAACGTCTCCTTCGTCCTAGCCCTGAGATTTTTTAAAAAGTGCCACATTCAAGGCTCTTTCAGGTTAGGAGAATGAGACCCATCATTGTTACTGGTATTTGGCATACTGGGTACGCCACGGGGAGTTTGCCAGACTCTGCCGTGTGGGCAGGCTACATTCGGTAGCCTGCCAGGTTGTCCAAAATAATATAAATAGGTCACAAATAATATAAAATAAATTATTGTGGGCCTGCTACGGGGCAGGCTTGAGGAGTGGTTGGGAAAACAGAGACAGTGGTGGAGGGAAGGTGACAGTGGTGGTCGGATTGGTGTTGGAATAGTGAATGCCTGTAACAATCGCCAGGAACAACTTTGTAAGCCATGGTGTTTAAATAAAGTGAGGAGGAAAATAAAAGAGCACTCTAAAACAAAAGAAAGATACACAGAACATTAATACTGCCCAAGGCCACAAACATAAAAGGCATCTCTTTTCATTTTAGATGCTCCACTTCTCCCACCTCACCTATGCAACTGTAGAACACGTTGGCATTTCCGAGTGGTATCAACGACGTTATCTCGTTTGGGATAACCTGTGCTCCTTGGCCTCTAGCATTTGAGCCATTTTTCCCCTCTGCCTCTTGAAAATCCCCATGCTAGTCCGACTTCTCTGATCACATCTCACCCAAGATTTGTCTTCCTCTAATCACTGCTCCCAAGGAAAAGCACTCTGCTTTTTGTTTCCTTCTCTTGAAGGAAACAAACTTTTCTGCTTATTTAAACAAAAATTTTTCAAGTAGATGGGCACCGTGAGGCTCAGCACTGACAGACCCCTGGAATGGCGCACCGCAAGATCTCTGTGTCTAAAACCAAACTTCTCCTCCTTCCAAAGCAGAAACCTAAACTTCTTTCTTTACTCCTTAGTCCCATTTGGAAGTTCACATCTATGCATTCGCCTATCCAAGAGGAATGGCGTGCCTTTTCTATGCCTTCCACAAAACAACTCCCCTTTCCCTTTTCAAGTCCGAGCTTGTAATATCATTAGTAATATCATTTGAATTCGCTCGAATTACTCATCCACTCTTTTTTGTGTGGGAGGGGGATCGTTGAGCCACACCCGGTAGTGCTCCTGACTACTTCTGACTCTCAAAACCAGGGTAACACTCAGGAATGCTCAGGGGACCAGGTAGTGCTAGGGATTGAACTCGGGTCTCCTGCATGCAAGGCAGGTGCTAAGGGAGTTGAGCTCTGTCATTCACTCTTATCCCGCACTTTTAAGCCCTCTCGGTGATACCAGACATTGTTTCTGTTATGAAACCACTCCTTTTATTTCCTGAGTGCTGTACCAACTCCCGGCTGCAGTGGCAGCACAGCGGTAGGGCGTTTGCCTTGCGCGCAGCCAGCCTGGCTGAGCCAGGTTCGATTCCTCTACCCCTCTCAGAGAGCCACCGAGAGTATTCAATATGCCAAACACAGTAACAACAAGTCTCACAATGGAGAGGTTACTGGGCCCGCTCGAGCAAATCGATGAACGACGGGAGGACAGTGTTGGACAGTGTTGGACCAACTCCCGCCTAGTCTCACTCCCACCAGCAGCCAGAACTTACTGAGATCGCACAGGTCTCAGCTTAAACATGCCTGAAACTTCTTTTAAAATAGTATGATTAATTTATTTCTTCATTAAAAGTATTTGCTACATACAAATTTTGAGAAAATGTGTCTGAAAAAAGTGTGGGAAACGTTAATAAGTAGATAACTGATACTCAGTGAATGTCAGTAAGGCGAGAAAACTCATATGTTCCACTGTAATAAAATTTTACAAGCCTTCAAAAAAAAACCATGCCTGAAAGTCTAAAAGTCAGCGGCAGACTCCCTAACTACCTTTCTGCTGAGTTATGCCAAGTTCCCCAATTATATGCCCTCAAAGCACACTCTACTTTTCACTAGCAATGAAATCTCTGCTCACTACGGGAAGAACTCTATCTGTCTTTCCCACTGTTTCACCCGGCACCCTACACAGACTTTTCACGTAGTAGGTTCTCAATAAATCTTTGTTAAAAGAATATATAGAATGTCACTCTGACTCTCAGAGATGGAATTATTTTTTTTTCAATTTGAGCTTATTTCATAACTAACTTATTTTTCTTTCCATAAGTCCAGCTCCAATCAGGTTCACTGATCCCACATACACTGTGCACTTGCCCACCTACAGGCCCTTACTCACATGTCTGATCCTTTAACATTCCCATCTCAACTTTTCAGCACACTGCATCCCTATTATCCGTCAAGATCCTGCTCAAATTTCCAACTTACCATTCCAATTTTATTACTTTATAAGTACCATCTTTTTTGTTTGATTTGGTTTTTTTGTTTGGGGGCTACATCCAGGGGTGCTCAGGGCTTATTCCTGGCTCTGTGCTCAGGGATCACTCTTCACAGAGCTCAGGAAATCATACAAAGTGCTGGGGATTGAAGCAGGTTGCCCATATCTAAGGCAAGTGCCCTGCCCGCTGTAGGCCTCATGGATATCATCTTTGCTCCCGAATAAAGCCGCCTCAACATAAGGCAAGCTGTTTTCTTGATGAGAAGATTTTTCTTTAAGGCAAACTGAATAAACAAATTTTAAGGAAAGTAGATACAAGTATCTACTTACAGTATTTTTAAATTGGACTTATAGGGGGCCAGAGCAACAGTACAGCAGTTGGGGGGCTTGCCTTGCATGCAGTTGACCAGGAATCAGTTCACAGCACCCCATACGGTCCCTCAAGCCTACCAGGAATGATCACTGAGTGTCAAGTCAGGAGTAACCCCTGAGCACCACCAGGTGCATGCCCCCTCAAAAAAAATTTTTTTTAATTAATTTGTCACTCACTGCTGAAAGATAATGCTAAAAAATTAACTCAATAGTCTAAAATAATGGCAAAAACTCATCCTGGTGTTTGAAAAAAATTACCACTGGTTTGTAAACAGAGTAGTATATATGAATTAAACCATAGAGTGGTACTACTGAGAGGATACGAGAAAGCCTCTTATTGTAGAAAAGTAAATGCAAAAAGAATGTGAGAAGCTGGAGAGATAATACACGAGGGTAAGGCATGACCTGGGTTTGATCCTCAGCACCACATATGGTCCCCCAAGCCCCAATCGGAGTGATCCCTAACTAGCACAGGACCAGAAGCACCACTTCCCCGCCTTCGGGCTCTTACTTGCATCTGATCATTCAATATTACCATCTCAACTTTTCAGCACACTACATCCCTACTATCCTTCCAGATCCTTCTCAAATTTCCCTAAATTTGTGACCCCAAAACCAAAACTGAACAACAAAAGTTAGAATACCAACAACTGAAAATCCTACTGAATTGCATTGATTTTTCAACAGCTACTAACAACACAAGAAACAGTTAAATGTGCTATGTCTCCTCACGAGAGAACATATCATCATTCATAAAATCAGCCTTCCAAATAAATGTTCCAAGCTTCTAAACCCAAATGCCAATTTATTAAAAAAAGCTGTGCAACAGAGCTCCTTAAAATCAACACCAAAGGAATCTAATCAGCAAAATTCAGATTGTGGTAAATGTGACAGAACAAATCATTGTTCCCTCACCACTATTTCTTTATTAATAATTGCAAGAAGAGAAACACAGGGAAAGGGTCAACTAGAGAAGATTAAAGCGACCCATCATACTTTGTCACTGAGAACTCTGGGTTCAACGGGACCAGGAATGGGATGTTCTGCCCCTATTCCCCTGTCTCCGGCAACCTAGCAGTCATGCCCATAAGCCACCTCTGGCCAGTGCCAGAGAATCTTGTCATCAGCCATGACCCAGAGTCACATGGCTTTCTCTCCAGGAAGGGAGCATAACATGACACTCACCGTAACCATGCTGCCGGACCCACACCAGGCTGTTTTATTCAGTGTGCCCCAGAGGGGAGTGGGTGAGACCCCTTCCCCACCCCAAGGGACCCAGCACTGGCAGCCAAAAACCCCCATAACTCACCCGCCACCATGCTTGGGGCTGCTCTCCACATGCTTGGCCCAAACCTTAGCCACGAGTGAACCTATTCCTGGACTACAGTCATATTTGCAGCCACGCGACACTTCGTACCATACACCGTACCCAAACTCCAAGAGTACCACTCTGCAGGATAACACTGTTTTTGTCCTTCCTGCA